GGTGGAGAACCCCGAGGTGAACGAGGACCGGGCGATACCCGACGCGTCAACCCGCGCCGTGCGCAACAACTGCGCCGGAGGCGCCGGGCCAACCCGGGCGATCTCAGCCTGACGCTGGACTACGACCCCTGCGACTGGGTGCACCAGGAGTTGCTGGCGGCCGGAGAGGCCGACGTCATGCTCACGCTGCGCTTTGCCATGAGCGACGGCACGGGGCATACGGTGATCGCCCAGGACGTGGACGTCTCGGTGCTGCGCTACAGCATCTCGCTGCACCGGCGGAACCGCCGACGTCCCAGCGACGACAATCGTCCTCACACCTTCGAGGCGGACCTGCGGTTGCAGCGCCACGGCGACTTCCGCACTGTGGACGTCACGCTCGCCGGTTGACGCTTCACCGCTTTCACCCTGACTCGACCTGTCCCGGTTGACCTTCGGGTCAGCCCCCTATCTCCGCGCTAGTCCGTCCGGAGCCGAGCGTCGGGGCAACATGCCTGCCCAGCGTCAACGCGGCGGTCTGCCAGGCGTCCGGCTCCGATTGCGGGCCTGAGAGCGCACCATCAGGATTTCGAAATGAAGAACAAGCCCACGGTGGCCGTGCTGGCATTCTCGCTGGGCGGGTTCGCTGCCGACCAGTTTACCTGAACGAGCGTCCCAAGCGTCTGTGGTGGCTGCTGCTGCTCCGGTGGCCGGCGTGCTGGCCCTGATCGCGGCGATAAAGTACCTCACCATGTCGGAGGTGGAATTCGACCGTCGCTACAACGGTCCATCGATCGAATGACCGTCGTCCCTCACGACCCGGCCCCGTCCGCCACGGGCGGGGCCTTTGCTGCAGACGGACGTAAAGCAGACCGGTCGGGCGCCGGAGGTGGCGGATATGTCCAGATGAAGGAACCCCCTCGCAAAGAACTGAGCGATGCGGAAGTGGCAGAGAGGATGCTTGCTGCTGCACCGATGCTGGAGGCGCTGGAACAGAGGCTGCTGCGCAACCGCAGGCGGATACACAGATCGTCGAGGCAATTCAATCGGTCTCGGAAATCGCAAAAGGCTGCCGGGAAGCCCACGTCGCAATCTGCATCTGCTCGGCAGTCACCGCCTCAGCGGTGGACCGAATGGCCGCATGGGTTCGGCGCATCCCGCACCCCAGTCAGGACGCATCCAGGACTCATGGTCCCGACTTTCGCCCCATGACGATGGGTGCCAACCGACCACGACCACCATCCGGTTCCCGATCTTCAACCAAAAGAACCTCGAGCTCAAAACCTGCTACCACGTGGCCCGGCTCTACCCCGAGCACCGGAGCATCCACGTCGAGTTCAGCCGAGAGGAAGTCTCACCGGACACACCGGCCGGGAGATGGCTGGTGGTGACGATCTGATCACCGTCAAACCGCTTCCAATTGCCCACCCAACGAGGAGGTCGCAATGCCTGAATACACCGAGTTGCAGATCGCCGTTTTGACCATGCCGAGAGACGATCTCAACGAGGCGGCCAGGATCATCGTCGATTGGACCGGCCGCCTGCTGGACGGACGGCTGGAGGATGCCGAGACCCGGGAGGACCGGCGCTACGATATGCCCGAAGACCTGCGGCCGTACCTGGGAGTGCTGGGCGGGCTGCGGGACCGGGTGTCAAACGTGCTGGACGCCATCGATAACTTCGCGCGCTATTTCCCCACAGAAGGAGAGGTGGAGGATGGCGACTCCCTGGTCGAGTTCTACGAGAGCGAGGCGTTTGAAAACGCTCCGAAAGTGAGACTGAGGGTTGCTGCCGACTCGATGGACGCTGTGGATGCTCTCCGATTCGGTCAATAGTTAACTGGTCAGCGAAAACGTCAGGCCATGAAGGACTTGACATTTAATCAGCAAAAACAAACCCGACCCCAAGTGCTCAACATCGTTTTGGAACACCAGCTCTCGATGGCCCAAGCCGCCGAGTTGCTGGGGGTAAGCGAACGCTATGCCTGGCGGCTTCTGTCGGGCTGCACTGGTCTCGCGCTTTTCAGCCAGCGGGTCGCGGCCTTCCCGAATGATCCTGACGTTGACCAAAGCCGCTTTGTGAGCTTCCGCCAGGGTAACCGTCGGATACCCACCGAGGCCGAGATTCCTTCGTTTCCCATCAATGGTGATCCGTTGGAACCAGTACTTGGTCCCGGAATCTTCCACCCGAAGATTCCGGCCGCCTCCGTCTGCATAGATTCCCTTGTCCTGGACCGATTGAACGAACACCGCGGAAAGGTGCGTTTCGTTTGCGTTTTGAAGGCAGGGCGCCTTGCCCTGCCGATACCAGTTCTATACCTTTTTGACGGATGCAGCAGGTTTTTGCCGGACTTTACTGGACGCAAAAATGGCCGTGCCCTATCTGATGTAAGTAGGGCACGGCCAAAAGTGGCATCTATTCACGATGTAAAATGGCGGAGAGGGCGGGATTCGAACCCGCGAGAGGTGTTACCCCCTACGCGATTTCCAGTCGCGCCCATTCGTCCACTCTGGCACCTCTCCGCGGCTGTCGGCCCGGTCCAAACGAACCTGAACCATCCAGTGTCTTGACGGACGGGTCAAAATTATAGCATGGCAGGTTCAGCCTTCGCGCCGCTGGCGTTACCGTGCGGCGGGCTGGTAGACCTCAGTGTCAGGGTGGTATTGGAACCATCCGAACCAGAAGGAAGTCAGGCTCGGGATCCGCCGGAAAACCTGCGGCGGATCAGACTGATTGACCAGTCCGGATTCGGTGATTTGCCAACGTACGCCGGTTTTATCTACCAGCACGGACGGCTGCGCATCGGCATCGTCCCGGGACGGCAGCGCGAATTCGGTATTGCCGCGCTCGTAAATGCGGCCGGCCCGTGATGAGGACGAAGCCACGACGACCACGTTCAGACCACCCACGGTGTCGTTGATCAGCCGGACGTCCTGGAGGTCCGCCACCCGGTAGGCTTTGGCGCTATCCCCAATGGACAGCCCGACCACGACTTCCTTCGGTTCAAACGTGATATCGCGATTCCACACGGGGAACATCACCTCATCAGAGGTGAAATAGTCGTAGTAAATGGCGCGGGGATCGTTCTCGGGGACGTAGAAATCGGGCGGGTAGATCCCGGTGTCCCGAGACAACACGGTGGTGTCGGGGTGCTCGTCGAGCCACTCTTCCCAAGTGGTGACCACCGACGGGAAAAATGGTTGCCTGATGCCCGAATCGGCCAGGGGGCCGATGACCGGTTCGCCGATGAACTGGTTCCAGAGCGACCGGGTCGCGCGGTCGTACATCACCTTGTTGCTGCGGTAGAGCAGGCCGGAGGTACCGAAAGTGGTGGCTTCGCCGTTGACGATGCCGGAATACACGATTCCGGTGCCGCAGAGGGTTCAATACACCAGCGAGATCGGCTCGCCGCCCAGCACGTCGTTGGCCAGTTCGTGGGCGTTCAGCACCCGCAGCGGGTAGGCGCGGTGCTCGCCGTTGATGGACACGCCAAACACCCGATCGCCGGGCCACATCCAGGTCGCCTGCTCGGGAAGGATGTGCGGCGGTTGCTCCAGCGGAGGGATGCCATCGAGGCGCACGCCGCCCCAGACCACCTCGGTGAGGTCAACCCGCGAGCGGGTGATGCCGGGCTCCAGGATGGCGCCAATGGCAGGGTCGATCAAGGCCAAGGAGTCCACCTTCCAACGAGGGTACTGGGAAGGCGGAGCGTACTCGTCCATGCGCGGCCCGACCCACTCCCGCCACCGGCGGCGGTCGAGATCGAAGTCCTGGCCGGTGAGGGCAGTCAGCGTCTTGATCGATTGGCTGGCCACGTCCCGGTTCCTGAAGAACTTGATCGCTTCCAGGATGACCACGACCTGGGATTTGTCGAGGTACTCCTCGGTATCCGCCAATGCGTCCAGGGTGGTCTCCGACGGGTGATCCATACCGTGCCAGATGCGGAACATGGTCCGGTTGGAGTCGTAGGTGACCTCGGTGGGCTGGGCAACGGGGACCGGGCTGGAAATAGTCGGCTCGCCCGTGGGAACGGAAGCGCCAGCCGTCGGTTCCGCGGTTGGCGCCGGCGGCATCGTCAACGCGGGGTCATCCGGTTGGGGAGGCGGCTCACCCCTGCAGGCCAGTCCAATCAGGCCAGCCAGGAGCAGGAGGAAGGTGATTGCTAGGCGCAAGGGGATTACCTGGGTCTGATTTGGAGGATACCGGCAAGGGATGACGAGAGGCAGCGTGTCTGGCGAAATGTCATGAAGCTGGCGAACTGTGTTGCTGGACCTCGATCAACGTAACGTGGTCCGGGAGCCGCGAACCGGCCTCCTTGAGGGCCTTTTTCAATTCCCTGACGTCGATTGCATACAGTTCCACACGGTTCCGGGAAACGTTGATGCCGGACTCGACCGGGATACCGGTGGCCCCGATGATGTCGTGCGCTTGGCGCTGAGCCTGTTCCAGGGATCTCAACGACGCCCGGGCTTTGCGCGCCCGCACTATTCCAGCCAGCGGACTGTCCTTCACATACGGTTGCAGGGTCGCTGCCGGGTTTTCGGTGAACAACACAGTGACGCCAAATTCCGGTTCGTGGTAGATCCGCAGGCCACCATAGGTGTCGGGCTCGCGCGAGTTGAGCGTGGCGCCGAGGTATCCGATTTCTTTCTGCATCGCCAAACGGCATATCGCCTCCTCAACGCTCACTCCCAACGCGGCTGCGTAGTATTGGGCATCCATGGCCAACGCGTAATTCTCCGGCAAGGGAGGGCAAGTGAGCGAGTCGGTCGTGCCTGGGGGGAGTGAAGCAGACGGTGACAGCGTGAGTGTCGCAACTACTATTACGACGAGAATCCCGGAGAGGATGTACCAACTGGGCGAAACTGGCACGTGTGGGCCTCGGCGTACGGACGCGCAAAGATGGCTATATCGGGGTTGATCGTTTGCAGCGACGGGTTTCCCCAGAGCCTGACGACACCCACGCGTTGGGGGCAGGTTTCAAGCCTGCCCCCTCCGAATACGGTGATGTATGCGCGACGTCAGTCGGCGGCGGCGGCGGCGTACCACTCCGCGCCTTCCTGGCCCGGTTCGGGCAGAACGAAACCGCCCTCCATGGTCCAGGATGCGGGGTTCTCGGTGATGCGCCCCGGGATGTCACCAGGCGCAACGCTGGCGATGTTGGCGAAGGCCAGGGTGAGGTCGGAGAGGAGTTGCTGCTTGACTTCCTCCGACCGGCCGGCGCGGTTGCCGCCGTCCAGGTAATACCCCTCGCCGTGTTCGTGGGTCTGGCCCACTGGGGTCTCCATGAATGTCACGGACACGAAGCTGCGCGGCGCGCCGGTGGAGCCGCAGTGGATGTCGGTGAAAGACAGGGCGATCTCCTGCCTCTGGTCAAGGGACAGGGCGTCGGTGGGAATGAAACAGCGATAGTGCGGCATTGTCTGCTCCTTGCGCCGGTTTGGCGGACTAGTTGTCGCGTCGGTCGCGGGCGGATACGACCAGTTCGTCGGTGGTGCAGCCGGTGTGGTCCATCCACATGTCCTGGATGGACTTCATCAGCTCGACGCGGGTTTCCTGCTGGAGGCCGGGCGGGATTTCGCCCCGAACCGCAGAGGTCGTGGAGATTCTGCCACCGCGAAAACCGAATCCGTTGGGTATTTCGATCCAGTTCACCGACACGTCATCCGGGCCACCGCCCACGAAGGACGTGCTGATTCGGGCCAGTTCCGACGCCAGTCGGGGCCGCAAATCTTCGGGGATTATCCCCTCCTGGATGGTGCAGTTGAACGTGATCATTTCCCTTTCCGAGCGCGACAGGTTGGTGATGCGGCAGGGTAACATACGCGGCGTTGCGCCATCAATAACAGACCAATCTCACGCATACCAACCTTGTCATCGCGAGGAGCGCAGCGACGTGGCGATCTCGTTGAATTGAGCGGGGATCCTTCCAGCGACGAGATTGCCACGCTGCGCTTGCAATGACAGGAGGTCGCTCGCAATGACCGATTGTGCAAAGCGGGTACGCGTGAACGGACCACTCCACCGGAGGAACCTCCCATGTGCCGAAGCATCAAGACGCTGCGCCGGGCCGACGCCCCCGCCACCGACGATGAAGTTCAGGCCGCCGCGCTGCAGTTCGTTCGCAAGATCAGCGGATACCGCCAACCGTCCCGCGCCAACGCGCCAGCGTTTGACCGCGCCGTGGACGATGTGGCTCTCGCCGCACGAACGTTGCTGGATGCCCTGGCCTCGCCGGCGGGACACACTTCCCAACTCAAATGACCGGGCAAAATGACAGGCCCAAAAGGCTGTGCTATCGTAGGCCGGCCCGTTTGCGCGGGCCTAATCATCGCTATAGGAAGGTTTCACCATGCCCACCATGACCGGCGGCCAGGCTCTCATGCGCTCGTTGTACCTGGAGGGGGTGCGCGTCATCTTCGGGTTGCCCGGGGTGCAGCTCTACCACGCGCTGGACGCTCTGAACGACGTGCCGGGCATCCGCCTGATCACCACGCGGCACGAGCAGGCCACGGCGTACATGGCCGATGGATACGCGCGGGCCAGTGGCGGCGTGGGCACGGCATTGATGGTGCCGGGGCCGGGTCTGCTGAATGCGTCGGCGGCCATCAGCACGGCGTACTCGGCGTCATCGCCGGTGCTGGTGGTATCGGGCCAAATCGAACGCGACCTGATCGGCGCCGACCGGGGCATCCTGCACGAGGTGAACGACCAGCAGGACTGCATCCGGCCCATCACCAAGTACGTGCGGCGGATGATGACCGCAGAGGAAGCGCCCGAGGCGGTGCACGAGGCGTTCCGGCAGCTGACCACGGGAAGGCCCGCGTCCGGTGGAGATCGAGATGCCGCCGGAAACCATGGCCGAGCAGGGCACGGTCAACCTGATCGAGGCCGAGGGCTACCCTCGCCCGGCCGCATCCGACGAGCAGGTGGCGGAGGCGGCGCGCATCCTGGCCGGAGCGCGGCGTCCGCTGATCTGGGCCGGCGGCGGCGTCATATCGTCCGAGGGTTCGGAGGCGTTGGTACGGCTGGCCGAGCGACTGCAGGCGCCGGTGATCACCACGGCGGAGGGCAAGGGGGCCATCGACGACCGGCACCCGCTGGCGTTGGGCGCCCTCCGGCTGCGCAACGACCCCGTGGCCAAGGAGGAGCCGAACTTCGACGTCATCCTGGGCGTGGGCAGCAGGATGGCCTTCCCCATGTGGCTGGACGGCCAGCGGGTGGTACAGATCGACGTCGACCCGGACGAACTGGGTCGCAACTGGGACAACACCTACGGCATCGCCGGCGACGCGCGCACGGTCATGGAGCAGGTGGACGCCAGGTTGGCAGACACCATCGCAATGGGAGATCGCCCGTCGTTTGCGGCGGAAACGGCAGCCCTGCGTCAACAGCGGCAGGAAAGCGCGATACGTCCCGAACCGCAGGAGTCGTACCTGCAAGCGGTGCGTGCCGCAGTTCCCGAGGACGGCATCCTGGTGTCGGGCATGACGCAGCTGGGCTACTACGCTCGCGCCTTCTGGCCCACCTACGAGCCGCGCACCTTCATCACGTCCAGCTACTCGGGCAACCTGGGGTACGCGTATCCCACGGCGCTGGGAGCCAAGGTGGCGCAGCCGGACCGGCCGGTGGTCGCGCTGTGCGGCGACGGCGGGTTCCTGTTCAACTCGCAGGAGTTGGCCACGGCGGTGCAGCATGGCATCAACGTGGTGGCGGTGGTGTTCAACGACAACGCCTACGGCAACGTGCTGCGCGACCAGGTGAACCAGTTCAGCGGCCGCGCGGTGGGCGCGGAGCTGCACAACCCCGACTTCGTCAAGCTGGCCGAGGCCTACGGCGTTCGCGGCGTCCGCGCCGAGGGACCGGAAGCGCTGGAGTCGGCGGTGCGCGAGGCGATCAACGCGGATGGGCCGAGCCTGATCGAGGTGCCGGTAGGCATGATGCCGACGCCGTTTACGTAGGGTGCTCTGGCTATTTGCCGTTTGCCGACTTGAAAGTGCCCGATGTTTAATCAAACTGGACACATTGCGGCTCGGTGGTTGAGTGACCGGAGCAACGCCGGCTCAAGGCAATCTCATCTACAAAGTGGGCATATTTCGTAAAAGGTTGTAACGCGATCTCCACTGATACTTTGGCTTAGATTGGACGGCGTCGAGATACTCATTGAGTTTGCTCATGCCCTTGCCGGTGCGGGGCACGATGGTCCGCCATGCCACTTGGCCATCGATTTTCGCATAACACTGGGCGTAAAACTCCTTAGCATCGCTCGACCAATTGTCCCGGTAACCATTCTCGATTTCCAGAAACCGCTTCACACAATAAATGACTAGGTCACTCATTTGGATCATTGGATTATTCTTGGAGTCCACAGGGTAGCTGAATTCCGTGATGCGCTTCACTCTATTGGCTTGTGGACCGGCGTAACGACGTTCCCGCAAGATACCCTCGACTTGATCTCGAAATTGGTCCTTCTCATCAAGGATAATCATTCCACGTGCACTCGTGCCTAGTTTCTTTTGTACGTGTGAGTTGACGTACGTGATCAAGTAGTCGAAAGCGAGCAGGTACGGTACTTTCGTGTCAAACCCCAGCGTATTGTCCAAGTCCGTGTGTGTGACTTTCCCTTGTCGATAGCGTAGAAATGGATACTGTGCTTGCGTCGATCAGCATGTCTATGATCGAAGAGCAAAAGGCATATCGCCGCTCCGGGTCGTGCCCCGCGAAGCGTCAGTTCCGTAACCCCGAGCAAGCGTGGCATGCAGTTCAACTTCGAAGGAACGCTACCGTCAAAATAGTCAGAGATGGCCTTGTCAAACCGCTCGTGGGTTTTGTTCCAACCCTCATCTCGGATGCTGAGACCACCATAACGAATACAGGCTGCTGCGTGTCTTGCAATTCATGCGCTGCATCCGGACTCATCCAAGTAAAGAAATGCATTGTGGTTACCTCTCAATTGTCATCGCTATTTTTATGAACCGCCGCACCCCAGAATATTCGAAAACAGTATAACATGTAGCTCTGATCATGAAACGTTAATGATAGTCGGTATGCAACTAACGGCAATCACCCAACGCGAAGCGTAGATACGTTGCCCCGCATTCCGCCGTCGCAGAGAAGGAGGGGCATTGAATGACCCGAACTCGTACCCGGAAGGGTTGGATGCAAACAGGTTCGGGAGGAAATCGCCGAATATTACGACTCGCTTAGGAGACGAGTGGATGCTGAACTCGAAACGCCTGATAAAGATCCCGGCAACACTGTAATGGTCGTCCCGACCGAGTTGGTGCCGCCATCCGGGACATGATCTTCGCCATGAAGGGGCGAACCCACACAAACGGCCGAAACACTGACCTGCGAACTGCACGATGCGTCCCATGCGCACCACCACAACCCCCATCTCATCACGATTCTCTGGCCCTCACCGCGCCGGAGCGGGCCGCGAACGGGGCCTCGTCATCGGCTGGTACGCCGCGGATGTGACTACACGTGACGGGTCTCGGAGATTCAGATTGCCATGCACACTGACAGCAATATCGAACGCGAGGCGATGGATACGTCGCCCTATGCCTGAGGGGACATCGCTAGCCAAGGCGATACCGTCTCCGAGGCGCGACAATTTGATTGAAGCGTTGGAGCTGTTTTTCGAAGTGGCTAGATGCCGAGATCGGCACCGAATGCTGTAGGGAAAGGATGTGACAACGATGCGTCAGGTGGTCTCTATCCGGGCGAAGACGGGTATTGGGTGGTGGAATGTCCCAGCCTCCCCGGCTGCGTCAGCCAGGGCGAAACGAGGCAGGAAGCTGTCGCCAACATCAAGGAGGCGATTGAGGCATACATCGCCGTCATCGAAGAAGACGGTTTGCCTGTCCCCGAGGAACGGTTTGAAACGCTGGTCGTCGCCGTATGAGCGGGTTGCCATGCGTCTACGGCCCTGTTGGCCACGCTATAATTGCTCGCCCACCACCTACAGCCGCGTAAGCAGCACCGTGACCATCTCCATGCCCACCCGCATCCTCATCACCGATTTCGTCTGGCCCTCCACGGGGCCGGAGCGGGAGGTGCTGGCTGCCGGCTTCGGCGACGGGGTTGAGGTGGTTGAGGCGCCGGACGGGTTGGAGGCGACGCTGGCGGGCAAAAGAGGAGAAGACGAGCTGGACACTAGAAAAGCTCGTGAAGGGAGGCAGCACAACAATGCGAGGTAGTAGAAACCCTAGACTTATACGGCGCAGGATTTGGAACCGAAACTGCTCTGGTGAAAGCAGGCAAAGGCATGTGGGGGTGGTGGGGCCTAAGAGGGATAGAGGCGAGACAGGCTCTAAGTAGCGGCAGAACTGTGGTTTAAGGGTAGCCAGGCTGAGCCGGGTTAAGCCCCGTCTGGGGGAAGACAAGAAACAAGCAGGCGGACACTTACGAGAGACAAATGTAGGGGGGGGTTGTGATTATAGTGCGATTGTAAAGACGCCACGCTTTAGGTAACAACCAGCTATGGCAGCAATGTGGAAGAGACAAAGAAGTCAAGCAGCATGTATGGATGGTAAGGACAAAGTCTGCCTTCAGAGCAAAAGGTGCTGTGGGGGAAGCGAGAAAATACGCGCCACATGGAACCAAGGCCGCATAATATCCCGTGTGAGGATCCAGAGTGTGAAGGTCTCAAAGGCATGATCAAAAGAAGGGGAAAATCCCAGACCACCGGATGCGAGCAGCCAACGCTAAAAATCAGCAAAAAAAGAATGAGCAGCAGACTGACATCCGGACAACGGAACAAGTGACAAGCAAGAGGAAACATCGTCTTACGCCTAAATACACTGGATGAGGAAAGTAGGACCAGACCGGTGAGAAGGAACGACTCATGGCAAAATACGGTCCGCACCACGCGGAAGAAGTAGAACCCAAACCCCGGAAGTAGAGGCAGTTCAACACATATCATTAAGTGGGTGACAAATTAGAAAGGGTCAAGGGATGACCGTGCGAGCGCTAAAGGCGTGAGGCGGGGCGAGCGGCAGGGAAACAAACCTAAAGGGAAAGTGAAACCAGAGCGGAAGTAAAAAGATCTTTACCATTACGAGGAGGATCGAATGGAGGAGCGAGGGATTTGAGCAGGACATGAAAAGAAGAGAACGAGTAAACATGAGCAGAAGACGCGAAGGAAAAAAGGAGGGGAGAGGAACACAATAACAGGGGACGGGAGAGGAGCGTATGGGGCGACGGGAGAGCCGAGAAAGTTCGAGGAAGGGAAGGGGGAGGGACAGGCGCGATAGGAACGAGCTGGGCAAAGTAGATAGAACACGCGGGGGTTGCGTCATCAGCCCTTAGGTTCGGGCGTAGACAACATAGTCCGTGGGCGTGCGTCGGAAGATGTGGTCCTAGTACTACAGTCGCGCTTGACTTTGTAGGATAGGCCCTGATTACTGTCGTGAGTCGAGGGTTGGAAATGGTCGACATTACTGAGCGAGAGGATGTGCTGACTGGAGGTGGCTCGAGGCGCTGCACGGGCGTATCGCGTCGCAGTTTCAGCCGCAGTGAGTCGCGCCAGCGGGTTCTGGCGTACCTGAAGGATGCTGGGGTCGGTGGAGCGCAAGAATGGGTGGAGTTGGCCGATATGCTGGCGACGCCACCCCCGACGGGTGCAGCGGTTGCTGGCGGTGTACCACTGGGACGCGGACCAAGTACGGGACGACCTGCAAGGTATGTGGTGGAGCATCTGGGCGACCCCGGCGGGGTGCTGGTGGTGGATGAGACGGGGTTTCTGAAGCAAGGCCGGAATCGGTGGGGGTAAAGCGGCAGTACAGCGGCACGGCGGGAGGTGAGAACTGCAGATCGAGTGTTCCTGGCCTATGGCATCCGAAGGGGCGCGGCCTTTCTTGGATCGTGAGCTGTATCTGCCCATGAATGGCCCAGTATTTTTAGCGGCGGCGGGAAGCCGGTGCCCCGGAAGGGTCGGTCTTCGCACCAAGGCACAACTGCTCAGGAGATGATCAGCCGCGCGGTGGCGGTTGGGGCGCCCTTTGCCGAACTGGGCTACGAGTGTACGGTATGACCGCCGGTTGCGGCGGTGGCTGGAGGAGCGAGGCCTGGTTATGTGCTGGGTCAGTGCAGACAATGAGCCGCTAGTGGGTCGACACGAGCGTGGCTCGGGCCGCGTGGCGGCCGTGAACTGGCCCAGCAGATACCCGATGACCAGTGGCGAACGTCTGAGCGGTGGGGAGGGCAGCAAAGGCCACTCCGCTACGATTGGGGTTGGTTTGCCGAATACGACCCTGTCGGATCCGGACCAAAGGCATTGGCCTGCTGGTGCGCCAGCATTGCCGAAGCCTGAGATGCACCTTAGCCGACTACGCGACTGCGTTAACTTGTGCGTACGGGAGAGGTATCTCGGGCGGAACTGGTGCGCCATGGCTTGCACCCGGTTGGATCATCGAAGATGTCTTCCAAGGAGGCCAAACAGGAGTGGGTCTGTATGAGTATCAGGTGGCGCCTGTGGGTCGGCTGGCGCCGGCACATCACCCTGGCGCATGCTGGCCCAGCCCTTTCTGGCGGTACAATTGCCGGTCGATCCGCCGGTGGCGACGGTAGAAGGGACATAGGTGCGTGGGGAGACTCCTCCCACTGACCTTGTCCCGATGTTCAGACGGTTTCTGTGCCGGCTGCTGTGGCTGCCCCGTGGCAGTCCCCTGCCTGACCTCCCTGGTCCGGGTGGAAGACGCGGCACCAGGCCCGGGCTGCATGTTCATCTACCGGGAGACGCCTTTCAGCACCTTCACACAGCTCACTGTGTACTAGGAGGTATGATGACCAACAACTACCGCTATCTCGAACGCGAAGTCTTACGGCCACATTGCCTTGCCCCGAATGGACATCGCCAGCCATGGCTATACAATGCGGAACCCGCAGAATCTGATTGAGGGCCTTGACTGTTTTTTCGATGTGGTTTCGGATGCTGAGAGTCAACATCGATGCGTTAGGCAAAGGACGGACAACGATGCGTCAGGTGGTCTCTATCCGGGAAGACGGCTATTGGGTGGTGGAATGCACCTCCCGGCTGCGTCAGCCAGGGCGAAACGAGGCAGGAAGCGGTCGCCAACATCAAGGAGGCGACGTGAGGCATACATCGCCGTGCTCGAAGAAGAGCGGGTTACCGGTCCAGAGGAACGGTTTGAAAACGCTGTGTCCGCCGTGTGAGCGGGTTGCCATGCGTCTCCGGCCGTGTTGCACCGTATAATAACCTCCCTGCAACCCTAACCATAGCCGGCCAAATGCACACCCATGCCACCCGCATCCTCATCACCGACTTCGTCTGGCCCTCCACTGGGCCGGAGCGGGAGGTGCTGGCTGCCGGCTTCGGCGACGGCGTTGAGGTGGTGGAGGCGCCGGACGGGTCGGAGGAGACGCTGGCGGCGCTCGCGGCGGACTGCGACGGCATCATGACGTGCTTCGCGCAGGTCACGCCGGCGGTGGTGCGGGCGGCGCAGCGGTGTCGCGTCATCAGCCGGTACGGAGTGGGCGTGGACAACATCGCCGTGGACGTGGCGACGGAACTGGGCATCCCGGTGACCTACGTGCCCGACTACTGCGTGGATGAGGTCAGCGACCACGTGATGGCGCTGCTGCTGACCTGGAACCGGCAGGTCGGGTTCTATGACGGCGTGGCCAAGGCGGGACGCTGGGAGGGCACGCCGTCGCCGCACCCGCTGACCCGCCTGCGTGGGCAGACCATCGGCATCCTCGGGTTCGGCCGCATCGGTCGCGCGGTGGCGGACAAGGCCAGAGCCTTCGGGCTGGATGTGGTAGTCTTCGATCCCTACCGGCCGGCCGACGCGACGCTGCCCGACGGCGTGTCGGCCGCGTCGCTGGACGACCTATTGGCCGCATCCGACTACGTCACGGTGCATACGCCGTTGAACGATGAGACGCGGGGGTCGATTGGCCGTGCGGCGTTTGAGCGCATGAAAACCTCCGCGTACATCATCAACTGCGCGCGGGGACCCATCATCGACGAGCCGGCGTTGATCGAGGCGTTGCGCGGCGGGCAGATCGCCGGCGCTGGCCTCGACGTGATGGAGTCGTCTGCGCCGCCGGTGGACCACCCGCTATTCGGGATGGACAACGTGATCGCGACGCCCCACGTCGCCTTCCTTTCGCAGCAGTCGGTGCTGGAACTCGAGGTGCGCACGGCGCGGGCCACGGTGGACGTGTTGCAGGGGCGCATGCCCGAGTTCCTGGTGAATCCGGCGGTGCTGCCTCACTCGCGGGTGGCATTACAATAGCGATATGCCGGTCATTCGAGCCGCAACGAGATTGCCACGCTGCGTTCGCAATGGCATTCGAGATTGACGCGCTACGCTCGCGATAGTATTCGAGATTGCCACGCTGCGCTCGCAATGATATTTGAGATTGACGCCCGGTACTGGCACTGACAATGGGGAACATGGAGGACAATTTGGCGACGACAGGATTTACCATCAGCTACCTGGGCACCGGTTCGGGCGGCTGCATCATGCGCAACCACACGGCCATCGTAGTCGAATGTCCCACCGGGGAGCGCATCCTGCTGGACGCGGCGTCGGGCAACACGGTGCTGCGTCACGGGCAGGCGTTGGGCATGTCGCCCACTGATTTCGACCACTGCCTGCTGAGCCACAGCCATGCCGACCACTGCGAAGGGCTGCCACACATTGAGATGCAGCGCAGCCGCCGCAATCCCGCCGAGCAGCCGATGCAACTCTATGGCTCGGAGCGGGCGTTGGCAGACATCGGAACGCTGCTGGCCTTGCCCACGCGGGGCCTCAACGTGGACGCCGACGGTGCCCTGCGGACGGACGGGCGGCGGTCGATTACCTTCCGCCCCACCGAACCGGGAGAATGGGTCCAGCTGACGCCGGGCGTGCGGGCCAGGTGCGCGCCAGTAAACCACATTGGCGGGGCCATCGCCTGGCGAGTTGAATCGGGCGGGCACGCGGTGGTGTTTTCGGGCGACACCCGCTGGTGTCCGGAACTGGCCGATCTGGCGCATGGCGCGACGCTGCTGATCCACGAGGCCTTCTGCACCGAGGACGACCGCAGCCAGGCGGACAATGTGGCGCACGCCACTGCGGCGGAGGCGGGACGGATCGCCCAGATGGCCGGCGTCGGATCGCTGACGCTCACGCACATCGACAACGCTTTCCACGCCGACACCGAGCCACTGGCGGCGGAGGCGCGGTCCGTGTACGACGGGCCGGTGGCGGTGGCGGAGGACTGCTGGCAACAGCGGGTGTAGGCTGACCATCCACGCGTACCCGTTTTGTGTCTGCGAGCACCGACGCGGCAATCCCGCTGCCGGCACGCTGACCGATCCGCTTCATGGATTGCCCGGCTTCACTCACAAGGACAGTCTGAACGCAGGTCCCTACGCGTCCGGGGCGCCCATGCTTGCAACATATCAGAGTTCATAATATATTATATCTATGTACGCGATAATCTTGCCGGGCAAATGCCGGTTAGAACGACAGCCGGAGTGCCTGCCAGCGGCTGCGCCCACCGGTCACGCGGTGTGTCTGCGGTTTTATGGCATGGGAAATGTGCCGTTGTATAATCGAGTATGAACATTCACCTTCAGGAGGTTTTAGATGAACCGCACTCAACGTGATTTGATACTGCTGGCCGCAGGCATCGGCGTCGGGGTTGGCCTCGGCATGCTGCTGGCGCCCCGCAGCGGACAGGAGACCCGACTGGCCTTGACTCGCAGCGCCAATGAGGCCGTCGGTCGCGGCCGCGGTTATTGGGAGCGCATTCGCAGCCGGATCGCCGCCGGCGAAAGCGACGAACAGTTGGACACCGAAGAGTAGTGTCAACCGACTGCCGGGGCGACGGCCCGTTTCGCCGTCGCCCCGGCAATTTTTGTGCCCTCTCGGGTTTGCGCCCTCTTGGGAAGGACAGCTGGATATGTCACCTGACGTCGTGTCGATTATCCGGGATATTGCAATTATCGTGATGGCAATCATGGTTGCCGTGGCGGCGGTGGCGCTCACCGTCGTGACGCTGAAAATATACCCGAAGGTGAAGCGGGCAGCGACCAATTTCGAAGCTTCTTCGTGCCTGATGCTGGATACCGCTGCACGGATCTCCAGCCTGGTGGCCGCGGGCAGCGAAGTGGGCGCGTTCGTTTGGGACTTGGTCACCAGGCTGCGCGGTCGCGGTGATGACAAGTCGGATGATGCCGGCAACTCGCCTAGCTGAAGCGCCGTCGGTTCAGTCCGATGTTGGCGCGGTTTTACCCTTTGGACCGTCCACACCTGCGGCGGGCCGGTTTTGCTTTTTGAGCATGTTCTCCTTGTAGACGTTCGGGAGGCTAAGTTATAATCAGAAGGTAGTTTCCTTTTTAGCGCGGTGCATGATGGCAGATATATTCGACAAGCTGCAGCCTATAGTTGATCGTTACCGGTCCATTGAAGATGAGATGGGACAACCCGACGTGGCCGCCGACTATGCCAGGCTGCGCGAGCTGAACCGCGAACGATCGGGCCTGGAAGAGTTGGCTGGCATCGACAGCCAGCACCGCAAGTTTTTTGAAGAACGAGCCGACCTGAGGGCCCTGGTTGGCGAGGGCGGCGACCCGGAACTGGTGGAGATGGCCCAGTTGGAGCTCGAAGAGGTCGACCGGCGCATCTCCGAGCTGGCCCAACGGTTGAAGATCGCCCTGCTTCCGAAAGACCCGAACGACGAGCGGGACGTCATAGTGGAGATCCACGCCGCGGCGGGAGGCGAAGAAGCCTCGCTGTTCGCCGGCGACCTCTACCGGATGTACCAGCGCTTCTCCCTGGAGCAGGGCTGGGCGGTGGAGATAATGGCCTCCAACCCGTCGGACCGGGGCGGATTCAGCCGCATCGCTTTCTCCGTCGATGGGAAAAACGCCTTCAGCCGACTGAAGTTTGAAGCCGGTGTGCACCGGGTACAGCGGGTTCCCGAAACCGAAACCCAGGGCCGCATCCACACTTCCACGGTGACGGTGGCGGTATTGCCCCAAGTCGACGAGGTCGAGGTGGACATCAAGGAAGACGAACTGCGCATCGACATCTTCCATGCCGGAGGACACGGCGGGCAGAACGTCAACAAGGTCGCCACTGCCGTCCGCATCGTGCACGAGCCCTCCGGCGTGGTGGTGGTCTGCCAGGACGAACGGTCTCAGTACAAGAACAAGTCCAAGGCCATGACCATACTGCGCAGCCGGTTGTACGCGGCGGAGCAGGAGCGCTACCAGGCCGCCATTTCCACCAGCCGCAAGGCGCAGATTGGCAGCGGTGACCGCAGCGAAAAAATCCGCACCTACAACTACCCGCAGGACCGTATCACGGACCACCGGGTCGGGCTGTCGGTCCACGGCGTTCAGCGTCTGATGGACGGAGGCCTTGGCGACATCATTGATCGCCTGATTGTCGCCGACCAGGAGCGGGCCCTGGCCAGCGTGTCCGCCTGATCTCACAGTTTACTACCAACATGTCCCGGGGCGGCCGCAGGGTCGCCCTCGCCGATTGGCCGCTATGCCCAACCTCCGCACCGTAATCCAGGAAACCCACCGCACCCTGGAATCCGCCAGCATACCGGACGCCCGCCTTGAGGCCGAGGTGATGGTGATGGACGTCATGCGGATGCCACGCCACGCCATCTTTGCGGAACAGGAATCCCAGGTCTCTCCCCAACAACAGGAGCAACTGGCCGCCATCGTTACCCGGCGCCTCACCCGAGAACCGTTGGCTTACATCCTGAACTACCGCGAGTTCTACGGCGTCAACCTGCTGGTGAACCCGGCCGTGCTGATACCCCGTCCCGAGACCGAGACCATGGTGGAGCACGCGCTGTTCATGGCGTTGATGGGCATGGAGAGCCGCGAACTGGTGATTGCCGACGTGGGAACCGGGACCGGCGCCATCGCCGTCAACCTGGCCATCCACCTGCCGGCGGCGCGGATCTACGCCAGCGACGCCTACGACGCTACCCTGGACGTCGCCGCGTACAACGTTCGCATGCACAATGTCGCCGATCGTGTCACCCTGCTGAAGGGCGACCTTCTAGAGCCGCTGCCCGAGCCGGTGGACGTCATCGTCGCCAACCTGCCCTACCTGCCCACCGAGCGCATTCCCACCCTGCAACCGGAAGTCCAATGGGAGCCGGTCGCCGCGTTGGACGGCGGAGCAGACGGCCTGGACCACGTCCGGCGTCTGCTGTCCCAGGCCGCGGAATCGCAAGAGGATGGGGACAACCGACTAAAACCCCATGGAGTAATCCTATTGGAGATGGACCCGGAGCAGATGACCGAGGCCCAATCGTTAGCGTCCGAAGCATTCCCTGAAGCAGAAATCACCGTTGAGCCAGACCTTGCGGGTTTGGACCGAGTATTGTCGGTCAGCCTGGCCGGCAATCTTTAGGGTCCGAGAGGTCCGCTATCGTTGCTATCGTTGCCATCAGCCGGTCCGCCAACATCGCCGTGCCAGTGTGAGCGCACCATGCGTGCCCTGATCGTCTCGGATATCCACGCCAACCTGCAGGCATTCGACGCGGTGCTGGCCGATGCGGAATATGCCGGCGGATACGACGTGGTGTGGTTCCTGGGTGACCTGGTGGGCTACGGATCAGAGCCTGGCGCATGCATTGATCGCCTGCGGAGACTGCCCCATATCGCCGTGGCCGGCAACCATGACCACGCCGTAACGGGCAAACTGAACCCCGACCGGTTCAACGGCGCGGCTCGCGCCGCGGCGCTGTGGACGGCCCAACAACTTGCCGACGACGAAATGGAGTACCTGACCGCGCTGCCCGAGGTGCGGCCGGAGGGAGAGTTCACCCACGTCCACGGCAGTTTGCGTGACCCCGTCATGGAATATCTCATCAGCGAGCCGGCGGCCCTGGCCACTTTTGCCCTGATGGAAACGCCCTTTTGCCTGGTTGGACACTCCCACTACCCGTTGGTCTGGACGGAAGACACCGGCCAAGCCAACGTCGAACTGCTGGACCCGTCCGCCCCGCTGTGCCTGCGAACCGAGCAGCGGATGATCATCAACCCGGGAAGCGTGGGCCAACCCCGGGACGGAGACTGGCGAGCGTCCTACCTGGTCTACGACAGTGACTTGGGAGGCGCCGCCGGCGTTTTGCATCACCGCCGCGTCGAATACGACCTGGCCGGAGCGCAGAACGGGATACTGACCGCGGGTCTTCCGGAGTCGCTGGCGATCCGCCTGGCAAGCGGACACTAGCAAACTTGACGGTTTTCGCTTCCCGCCATTAAACTTTTTACGACACCCGCTCGCCTTAGAGCAAGTCGAGGTACCATCATCGCTATTCAACATGTCAATGGCAACGCCGCATTCAGTGAAGACGTAGCACTATTCATCGACTGGGAGAACTTCAAAATCAGCCTGGCGGTACGGGGCAGGACGCCCAACGTGTCCGCGCTGAAAGAGGAAGTCTCCAACCACGGACGCGTTGTCGTCGGCAAGGCATATGCCGACTGGGTTTCCCGCGCACCCGAACTCAAGGGAGCCAGTCAGTTCATCCTTGACCCGCCGTCATTGTACGCAGCAGGCATCGAGCCGGTATACGTGCCCACGCGTTTGCCCCTGCGCGGATCCTACCAGTCCGGTCGCACCGTCAGCGTCAAAAACAGCGTCGACGTGAAAATGACCGCGGACTGCATCGACACTGCGCACAACTTTCCCAACATAAACACGTTCGTCCTCGTGTCCGGGGACTCCGACTTCATCCACGTCATCAACTCCCTGCGCGCGGTCGGCAAACGCGTTCTCGTGGTTGGCGTGTCCTGGGCCACCTCCCGGCGCATGGCCGACCATGTCGACGGGCTGATTTTTTACGACGCTGACGTCGACCCGATTGACGCTGAGGAACCCGAATCGGCTTTCCAGCGCGCTCCGGCGCAACGCGGCCGCCCACAGCCGGCCGCCACCCTGACCAACCCGGGCCGCCACCAATTGCCCGAGGTAATCCGCGCGATTGAAGACGTGATCCGAACGGAGCGGGCCGCCGGCCATACGCTGCTCCTCACGTCCCTCAAGCAGCGTTTGGTGCGCCGCATCGCCGGTTTCGACGAGCGCAAGCTCGGCTTCTCGGGTTTCAAGAAGCTCATGCTGCGCGTGGCCGAAGAGGGCAAAATCAAGATACGCAGCGTGGATCTCGTGGACTGGATCCTGATGGCCGACGAGCCCGATCCCGAACCGGTGGCCAGGGACGATGACGACGTTGATCTGGATGCTGACGAGACCTACCGGGACGAAGACGCCGCGGAAGATGTGACCCGTGACGAAGTCGGTGAGATGCGTTACCGATCGTACGAAACTGCGGACGATAATTTCGATGACGAGGCTGAGACCGACCGGTCAGACGCCCGGATGACTGCGCCGGCACAGACCGACGTGCCAACCCAGGTTGCCCCGGCCGCCGCCGTTCCCGACGAGTCCGAGCTGGAACAATCCCGACTGGACCAATCCCTCGTCGATGCCATCGCCGCCATGGACCTTCCCGACTCCGGCGACCCCGAGGGCGACGCTTCCCGCATCGCGGACCTGGTGGCAATGAGCCACTTCCTCCAGGATCGCGACGGCGCCGACGCCGTCATGTTCCAGGCATTGTGCAACGAGATCAGCGAAGCGCTAACCGCCGGCATCAGCGCCGGTGACGTTACCATCTGCAAGCACTGGGGTGACTCGCCCGACCTGGTGGCGCGCAACCTGATCACCCGCTACGTGCGAACCCTGATGTCCAACGGCCTGTTCCAGTATCGCAACATCAACTTCAGGGATCCGGAGACGAACCGCGCACGGCGACGGCGGGTCTTCGGCCTGAACCGGGAACATCCGGTGGTGAGCGCCGCGCTGGCAGCGCGGCTCGGGCCATCCTATGAGCCGCCGGCCGACGAAATGACCGCCACCAACGACGCCATCGCCGCGCCGCCGGTGGACGATCACGGCTCCGCGGAGGCGGACCGCGCGGAAACGGCTGAAGAGGCGGAAGTAATCGCCTTCAGCTGACGACACTGACGAACCGGTGCGAGGCGGGTCCCCCGGCAGGGTGCGGCCCGCCTAACTTTTTCAGGACTCGCCAAGTTCGTCCCGTGCCCAGAGGGCGAGCGCCTTGCCCGGCGCCGTGATCTCCGCAACGGCCATGTAGTAGTGGTCCCGCCACCCGTGTTCCGGCAGGCCGGCGAACAGCATCAGGTTCAGCGGGTACTCCTCGCTGTCCGTGACGCGCCGGAAATCGTCGCGGAACAGGAACGTGGGCTTGCCCAACGCGATCGCGATGCCGAGCTCGACCATCACTCCCTCGTCAGGCGGCGTTCCGTTCACGACGGCAAAGATCGCGTCGGCGTCGCGCACGTCCTGGCAATCGGCCAGGGCGATCCGGTGCGCCCAGCCCGGCTTCGAGAGGTCAACCTGGTTATTGCGCTGGAAGGGCTCCCATACCTCCAGGTCCAGGCTCTCCAGCGCCGCGATGAGTTCGGGGAGCAGCCGCGTTTTCTGCTGCTCCGAAAAACCGTACGGGTTGGCCAGGTAGACCGTTTTTTGTTTCGAGGACGTCACAACCGTCGGACCCCCATCTCAAGTTATGCGCGGGCGGCTTCCCGCCAGAGGCGGCAACCGGTGACGCCCAACACGATGGGCAGGACAGTGTCCACCACGGCCCAGATCACCCACGGGGTGTGGTTGTCACCTTGGCTCACGTCGCCGGTCGCCAGGAAAGCGAACCAGTTGTGCAGAAACAAAATCGTGATCACTGTGGTGGCATAGAAGGTGACGTTGGCCTCGAGATACCCGCGAGACACGGAGTCGCCGGCCTCGCGGTCGCTGGCTCGCTTCTTATGGATGTAGTTGAAACCCATCCCCAGTGCCAGGCCAATCAGCATCAACACGTCCAGCACGTGCCAGACCGCGAGCACATTGATTGCACCCACCAGGAATAGGTTGATGATGAAGAAAACCGCGACCACTACTGAGATGCCGACCAGATATGCGCCGGCAAGTTTCTTTATTGCTTCCATGCCATGACTCCTTCGCGCTTATTGCAAGGCGGTGTTCAATCCTCCATGCCACGCGCCAGCCAACTTGTCCACGGGCAGATCCATCGGGCTCCCCAGGGTCAGCCGGCTCCCGCCGGTCGTACCCATCGTCAATGCCGGCACTCCGGCTGCTTCGGCCGACTGCAAAACGCTCGGCACATATTCCGGTTCCAGCGTGACCACGATGCGGGATGGCGCCTCGCCGAACAGCGCGGCGTCCCATCGGGACGGAACTCCGTTCGCGAATTCGTCTGACGCGCGAAACCCCACCGGTCCCGTTCCCCCAATACGATTGTCACCAATGATACAGCACTCCGCCAGCGCGACCGCCAATCCGCCATCCGAGCAGTCGTGGGCGGACTTGGCCAGCGCGCCCGCGATAAGGCTGCGGCAGAAGCCCTGCACCCGTCGCTCCAGATCCAAATCGATCCGGGGACGGCCCTTCACGAGGCCGTGTACCGCGCTGAGATATTCGCTGCCGGCCAGGTCGGACGCGCGGGCGGTTAGCTGGTCCGCACCGAGCAGCACGACCGCCAGCCCGGCGCCAGGGAACCCCGCGCCGCAGTGTTGCTTGACGTCGGTCAACAGGCCCAGGCCGCCCACGATCGGCGTGGGGAATATGGCCGTGCCCTGGCTTTCGTTGTACAGGCTCACGTTGCCGCTGACCACTGGCACTCCCAACGCCCGGCACGCCCGGGCCATGCCGCGGATGGACTGTTCCAGTTGGTAGTAGACTTCGGGCCGCTCCGGGTTGCCGAAGTTCAGGCAGTCGGTGAGCGCGAGGGGTTCCGCGCCGACGCAGGACAGGTTGCGCGTTACCTCCGCCACGACCATCTGGCCGCCGCGGTAGGGGTCGAGGAAGCAGTGGCGTCCGTTGCCGTCGATGGCCACCGCGATGGCCTGGCCCGTGTCCTTGATCCGCAGCACCGCCGCGTCGCCGGCGCCGGGCCCGACAACCGTGTTGGTCTGTACCTGGTGGTCGTACTGCCGGTAGACGCTTTGGCGGCTGGCGATATTGGGAGACGCGAGGAGGTGCAGCAGGGCCGCTCCCGCGTCGGACGGAACGGGTATGTCCCTCAGCCGCAGACGTTGCCGATCAATTGCCTCCGCGGATTGCCGGCCGGTCAGGCGATAGCGCGGGGCGTCGCTCAGGTGGGACACGGGCGTGGAGGCTATCGGTTCTGCCCCATCGGTTATCAACGCGTATGGTTCTTCGGTTACCGCGCCAACCGGACGGCACGCGATGTCCCACTTGTCGAATACCTCGCGGATGGCGGGCACGTGTTCCGGCGCGGCGGCCAGCAACATTCGCTCCTGGGATTCCGACAGCATCACCTCGTAGCCGGTCATGCCGGATTCGCGACGGTGCACCTGGCTGATGTCCAGCGCGATACCCCGACCGCCGCGCGCCGCCGATTCCACCGCGGCGCTGGTGAGGCCGGCCGCGCCGAGGTCCTGCAACGCGCGCACCCGGCCCGTGGCCAGGGCTTCGAGGCAGGCCTCGATCAACGATTTTTCCAGGAAAGGATTGCCCACCTGCACCGTGGGCCGGAGTTCCTGCTCCTCCTCAAAGGTCCGCGACGCCAGACCGGACGCGCCGTGGATACCGTCACGGCCAGTGCCCGCGCCAGCCAGCAGCAGTACATCTCCGGTCCTATCGGCTGCGGCGCTGGCCAGGTCCTCGATGCGGGCAATGCCGACGCACATCGCATTTACCAGCGGGTTCTGCGAATAGCATTCGTCGAAGTAGATTTCGCCGGCAACGTCCGGCACGCCGATGCAGTTTCCGTACCAGCCGATGCCGTCCACGACACCCTTGAGGAGCCGCCGGTTCGCGGCGGAGTCGGGCGGGCCGAACCGGAGAGAGTTGAGCAGGGCGATCGGCCGCGCCCCCATGGCCAGGATGTCGCGAACGATGCCGCCGACGCCGGTTGCGGCGCCCTGCAACGGTTCCACCGCCGACGGGTGGTTGTGGGACTCCACCTTGAACACCACGGCCAGTCCATTGCCGATGTCAATGGCGCCAGCGTTCTCGGCGCCGGCCTGGGAGAGGGTCCGCGCGGAACGCGAGGGCAGCATCCCCAGCAACGGGCGAGAGTGCTTGTAGCCGCAGTGCTCGCTCCAGAGCGCGCCGAACATACCCAACTCCACCGGGTTGGGCTCCCGGTCCAGCCGGTCAACGATCATGTCGTATTCCGCCCGGGACAGCGCGATTTCGTCCAATATTTCCTTGGTAACCGCCATCACCACCTTCCGAGGGTTATGAAATCCCGAGGATTATGCAATCAGTCCTCCGACCACCACCATCGCCACGCCGGCGATGGCCATCAACGTGCCTATTACCAGTTCCTTCGTGATCGTTTCCGTCCGGCGCAGGAACAGACGCGCCATTACCAGCGTGACCAGCGGGTTACAGGATACGACGGGCGCGATGACCAGGATGCTCGACCCTTCCCGCGTTACGGCGAAGTACAGGGAAATCACGGCGCAGGCGGCGGCGAACCCGGCCAGGAGGACGAACAGCGGCGCCCAACCTGAGCTGGTCGATTTCTGGACCGCTTCGCGCCCGAACAGGGGGGAAAGCACCAAAGTGGCGAAGAACATGCTGCCCGCCGCCATGATCAAAGGTGACCCGAACTGCAGGCTCAGCACCCGGCCGCTCAGCGTTGACGCGCCGTAGCAGGCCGCGGCGAGTACCGCCAGGCCGTATCCCGCCACCGATTTCCAGTCACTGCCCCAGCTGTGGCGCAGGAAGTTCCCTCCGGTCAGCGCCAGGCCGACCACGACCACCACCGTCCCGACACCGAGCATGGGCGTCAGGTGTTCGTTGAACCCAGGCACGCCGAGCCGCGTCAGCGTGATGGCATACAGTGCGGAGAACAGCGCCGCGCTGCCCACGATGGGTGTGACGCGGGATGCCCCGACCATGCTGATGGCGATGTACTGCTGCGAGCGGCCGCCCATGTAGGTGAGGATGCCGTTGCCCAGGAGCCAGACCATGGCAATGGCCGGCAGGGCGATTATCGCGTCCAGTTCGAAGACCAGCGCCAGCGTGCCGGCGAGCAGCGTGGACGCCACCAGCGAAACCAGCGCCGATGGCATTGGCCGAATCGCCTGCATCCCCAGCCGGGCCAGCACCGCGGAACTGCCGAATCCCAACAGCGCAATGCACGCCAACCCCAGCGACAGCAGCATTCCTAGCGATTGGCTCCGGCGTCGATCGTCGAGCTGAAGTCGATCGTCGGTCCGAAGTCGATCACTGATCCGAAGTCGATCATCGATCCGAAGATGAGGTTCCCGTCGTCCGAACCCAGCAGCGCCTCGCAGCTTCGCTCCGGGTGCGGCATCATGCCGAGCACGTTGCCGCCTTCGTTCACTATGCCCGCGATGTTGTCCACCGATCCGTTGGGGTTGGCGCCTTCGGTCACCGTTCCATCCGGTTCACAGTAGCGGAACAGGATTCTCCCCTGCTCCTCCAGCCGGACGATGGTGGACGCGTCCGCGTAGTAGTTGCCCTCCCCGTGGGACACGGGCACGGCCAGCGGCTGTCCCTGGCTGCACCGGCTGGTGAAGGGCGTATCTGCTCTTTCCGTGCGCAGATGTGTCCACTGGCAGCGGTATTCCAGGTGTCCGTTGCGTCGCAGGGCGCCGGGCAGGAGACCGGCCTCGCACAGGATCTGGAACCCGTTGCAGATGCCGATGACCAAACCGCCCTCGGCGGCGAAGTCGCGCACCGCGCCCATCACCGGTGAAAATCTGGCGATGGCTCCGGCGCGGAGGTAGTCTCCGTAGGAAAACCCGCCCGGCACGATTATGGCGTCGTAGCCGTCGACGCTATCCGCTTTGTGCCAGATATAGTCGGCTTCCTGCCCCAGCACTCCGCTGACGGCGTGGTGGCAGTCGGTATCGCTCCAGGTTCCCGGGAAGACCAGGATGCCGAAACGCATGCGTTGGGTCAGCCCGGCGCTTCGAGCAGTCGGGATACGATGGCGTTGACCTGGCTGCCATCGGCCTTGCCGCGAACCTGCGGCATGATCCGGCCCATCACCTTGCCGCGGTCGCCCGGGCCGGCCGCTCCGGTATCGGCGATGGCCTGGCGGGCGATGGCCTCGAGTTCGTCGTCACCGAGTTGTTCGGGCATGTATTCCAGGAGGACGGCCAGCGACGCTTCCTCTTTGGCCACGAGGTCGTCGCGCCCGCCCTGGCCAAACATCTCGATGCTTTCCCGGCGGTCTTTGGCCTGCTTCGCCACCACATCGGTAACGCCAGACTCATCCAGTTCCTTGAGATTGTTCTTCTCTACCAGCTGGATTTGGCTCTTCAGGAATCTCAGCGTCTCCAACCGTTGTCGGTCGCGAGCCCGCATGGTGTTGCGGATGTCCTCTTCCAACTTGTCCTTGATGGTAGCCATAGCGGTTCCGCCTCGCGTCCGTAGCTTGGGTGAGCGCTTCCCGAACCGCAATCCGAACGGCAAGGAAGTGGGTCAATGCTACAACGCAACCGTGCTGAGACGCAACCGTGCTATACTAAAATCCTCCGGCCGAAGTGGCGGAATGGTAGACGCGCCGGTCTCAAAAACCGGTGGGAGAATATCCCGTGTCAGTTCGAGTCTGACCTTCGGCACCAGTTTCTCAATTGCACTTTTCCCAAGTGTGAAATTGGTATCAATAGCAGTTTTGACGGCAGTATTGCCGCCATTTTGCCGCCATTAATATCGCAATCGATAATTTTCGTACTGGATCATATCAAAACAGGCTAGGTCAGACGCGTTCGCCTTCGTGCTTATTGAGACTGAAGGCGGCAGTGGCGTCTCCGGGCAGAGCACGTCTTTCCGTTCGGATGGGCGCTCCAACTGTGTGTAAGCGGGTGCTGGTCCCATGATCCTGATTCATTTGGCATTGAATGACCTCCGCCGGGTTTCGGACTAGATGGTGGACCGGCATGATGTACGAAACTCCGCGCGTGCGGTGCCTAAGCTGGACTTTGTACATTTGGGGCGGCAACCGCGATGGCGGCATGGGATGGAGCGCAAGTCGCCTCCGGGACTTTCCCACCGTCGGGTTTCGACCCTCGACTTTGTACAAAAGCTAGATAAATTATAAGAACAGGGTAAGCTCGACCAAATCATCACAAGAGGTCGAATATGCCCACCCTGCCCGAAGTCATTGTAACCATGTTGCTGCCCTTTGAGCACCTGTTTGACCGCAGGACCTGGCGCAAAGCCCAACTCCTGGCGGTGGGAGCGATCCTGTCTCCCGGCAAGCGCACGGTGTCCTCCGCTCTGAGCATACTGGGGATTGGGCAGCAGGGCGACTTCGCCATCTACCATCAGGTGCTCAACCGGGCCAGGTGGTCGCCGCTGCAACTGAGCCGGGTGCTGTTGCTGCTGGTGGCTGGGCGCCTGGGTTCATCCAACGAGCCGTTGGTTTTCGGCATTGACGAGACGGTGGAGCGACGTTGGGGCCGGAAGATTGCGGCCAAGGGACGCTACCGGGATGCGGTCCGCTCCACGGACGACCAGGTGGTGATGACTCCCGGACTGCCATGGGTGAGCCTGATGCTGCTGACACGTATCGGGTGGGCGGGACGCTATTGGGCGCTACCGTTTTTGACCGCGCTGGCGACATCGGCCCGCTACGACCGGCGCAAGGGCCGACGGCACAAGATGGTTACCGACTACGCCCAGCAGATGCTGGTCTGTCTGCGGCGGTGGCTACCGGAGCGGGACCTGGTGGTGGTGTGTGACGGCGGTTACGCCAAGCGCGAGTTCTTGCTCCATTGTCAGAGTATGTCCAAGCCCATTGTCGTCATAACCAAACTCCGTAAAGACGCGTCCCTGTACCAGCCAGCGCCACCGCGACGGCCCGGCCAGATCGGCCGGCCCCGGGTGGTCGGAGCGCGACTGCCCAGTCCCACTGCGGTGCTGGACGACCCAGCTACCCAATGGACCCCCTGCCGTGCCACCGGGTCCGACGGCAGCACCGCCATGGTCGAGCTGACTTCGGGTGTGGCGCTGTGGTACCGGGGAGGCTACCCGTCGGTCCACATGCGTTGGGTCGTCGTCAGACACCTTGAGGAACCCCTCGGAGAGGAACCCCTCGGACCCTATGCTTTGCTATGCACCGACAGCGAGGCCGATCCGCAGCGGATACTGCAGTGGTATATGCTGCGTTGGCAGGTCGAGGTGACCTTTGAGGAACTGCGGGCTCACTTGGGCGTGGAAACCCAGCGCCAGTGGTCAGAGCGTGCCATCGCCCGTACCACACCCGCACTCTTTGGCCTGTTCAGCGTGGTGACGCTGGCGGCGGATGTCTTGAACGAACAACAGGGTGGTATCGCGCCCAGGTCAACGGCGTGGTATGCCAAAACCAACCCTACTTTCGCCGACGCCATCGGTCTGGTCAGACGACACATCTGGGCGCAGCAGGAAGATTTTTCCACGTCTGAGCCCAGCCCTGAATTGATAAAAGTTCCGCGCGGAACATACCGCAAGGATGCTCGACACCCTTGCTTACGCCGCCTGATTGCACAAAGTCGAGGTTTCGACCCCGACAGTGGAATACTTCAGGAGGTCAGCGACAGCGGGAAACCCGCAAGTTCGACCGCGAAGCCGGCTTTTGTACAAAGTCCAGCTATGAGGGTGTCTAAAAAGAGTTCAATTGGTATTAGGGAGTGCAGGCGTGATATGCGAGGTTGGGCGTAGTGTTGCCGCATGAAGAGACCAGCTTATCCAAGCGACCTCAGCGACCGCGAATGGCAACTGCTCGAGCCCTTGTTGCCACCGCCCAAACCGGGTGGTCGACCCGTCAAGTATCCACGCCGGGAAATAGTGAACGCCCTGCGCTACGTGCTGCGCACCGGCTGCTCCTGGCGGATGTTGCCCCACGACCTGCCACCCTGGCGCATCGTCTTCCACTACTTCCGCACCTGGCGTCGGGACGGTACCTGGCAACGGGCCAACGCCATCCTGCACGCCGGTGTGCGACAGGCCGAGGAACGCCCGACCAGTCCCAGCGCGGCGGTGATCGACAGCCAGGGTGATCGACAGCCAGAGTGATCGACAGCCAGAGTGATCGACAGCCAGTCGGTGAAGACCACTGAAAAAGGGGGCCCAGAGGCTATGACGCATGGAAGAAGGTAAAGGGCGCAAACGTCATATCGTGGTCGATACCCTGGGGCTGCTGCTGGCGGTGGTAGTGCATCCCGCCGATGTTCAGGACCGCGACGGAGCACGGCTGGTGCTGCAGCATTTGGTGGGTCGGTTCCCTCGGCTGCAAGTGATCTGGGCCGACGGAGCCTACGGTGGCAAGCTGGTGGAGTAGGCCAGGGCAGTGTGAGGTTGGAGCCTGGAACTGGTGCGCCGTCCCGCCCGGCAGCACACCTTCCAGGTGTTGCCCCGTCGGTGGGTGATGGAACGGACCTTCGGCTGGCTGAACCTGCAACGGCGGTTGAGCAAGGACTATGAAGCGTTGTGCGAGACCACCGAAACCTGGATATACATCGCCATGACTGGGCTCATGCTCCGCCGACTAGTGCGTGTTCACACTAACAACGCAAAAATGTTATCATACACGCATGGAGATTACACAAGCCCAGTTCGAACGCATTGCACCGGTCTTTCCCGTTCAGCGAGGCAACGTCAAACTGCCGAACTTGCAGGTGCTCAACGCGATCCTGTACGTCGCCGAGCACGGCTGCAAGTGGCGGGGGTTGCCGCCTCGATTCGGCAATTGGCATACCGTCTACACCAGGATGAACCGCTGGTCGAAGAATGGCGTGCTCGACCGGGTGTTTGAACACCTGCAGCGGGAACAGATCGTGCGCATCAAGTTGGAAGCGGTAGCGATGGACAGCACCATCGTCAAGGTCCATCCCGACGGCACGGGTGCGCTAAAAAAACGGACCCCAGTCCATCGGCAAGTCCCGAGGCGGCTGGACCACCAAGATTCATCTGGTTGCCGCGGATGCTCGAACTGCCATAACCTGCTCGCTCTCCCCGGGTCAGGCCCATGACGCGCCGTAAGGACGTAAGCTGCTGGCCAGGCTTGGCCCGCAGCGCCCGGCACCGTTCCTGTTGATGGACCGCGCCTACGAGGGCAATGAAACCCGCCAACTGGCCCTGGACCTGGGGTTCATGCCGGTGGTACCACCGCTGAGCACTCGTGTCGCTCCCTGGACCTATGATCGGGAGATGTACAAGCGGCGGAATGAGATCGAGCGGTTGTTCCGCCGCTTGAAGGGATTCCGCCGCATCTTCTCCCGGTTCGACAAGCTCGACGTGCTCTTCCTGGGGTTCATCTCCTTCGCATTCATCATCGATGCACTGCTTTAGCGTGAACACGCCCTAGAGAACTTCCAGAACTCGCGCTATCCGTTCCACCCCTTCCACAACTCGGTCAGCGGGAGACCGCATCAGGGCAATACGGAAGTGGCCTTCCCCGTTTTCGCCAAAGCCGATGCCAGGGGTTACCACCACTCCTTCCCGCTCTACCAACAGCTCGGCCAACTCCGTGGATGACACATCTGCCGAGTAGCGAGGGAACAGGAAAGTGGCCCCTTCGGGCAGCGGACAGTGTACGCCGGGAACCTGGGACAACCGGTCAGCGCAGCGCACGCGCAGTTCATCGCACTCCTCCCGCCATCTGGGCAGGTGATCCTGGGCGCCTTGGAGGGCGGCCACCCCGGCCATCTGCACAAAGGGAGAAACAAAACTGGCCGTTTGTTCCTGTATCTTCAGCAGTGGCCCGAGCAGGTTTGACTGAGCCACGATGCAGCCCAACCGCCAGCCGGACATCGAATAGGCCTTGGTGAAGGTGTAACTGGTCAGGGTTCGTTCCGCCATGCCCTCCAAAGTCGCGATGGTAACGTGTCGGTTGGAATCGTAGAGGAAATACTCGTAGGTTTCATCACAAATGACCAGCAGGTCCTGCTCCAGGGCCAAACGCGCTACAGCTGCCAATTCTTCCTCAGTGTAAACCCGGCCCGTGGGATTGTTGGGGTTGTTAATGACAATCATCTTGGTACGCGAGGTGACGTACTCCTTCAACTGCTCGTAGCTGATGTGGTACTCCTCCTCTTCGCTGAGTGGCACGGCTATGGGCACACCTTCAGCCATCTCCACCTGCTGGCTGAAGCTGACCCACGTGGGCTCAAGCACCAGCACTTCATCTCCCGCCTCGATGTAGGCGTTTATGGCCTCATACAGCCCCATCTTGCTGCCAGGAGTAACCAGGATATCGCCGTCGGGATCAACGGTGCGGCCATTGTTGGCTGCCAGCTTTGCGGACATGGCCTGGCGCAGCTCGGGCAGCCCACGGGACGAACTGATGTTAGTATGTCCTGCGTTCAGGGCCTGAATCCCAGCATCAATAATATGCTGCGGGGTTACGTGGTGCGGACTTGACTGACCCAGGTCAATTACGTCGTGACCCTGCCGGGCCAGTTGTCGGGCTTTTTCGCCGGCGGCCAGGGTGGCCGGGGGCTGTACTCGTTGGATACGCGTCGCGGGAGCTCTGGTCATGGTTCACCTCTTTCCTGTCTTAGCAGTGTAGTTTAGCAACCTCGTTGCCAACGAACCACGCGCCTGGCGATACCGGCATTGTTCCCGTGCCGGATGCTCGCCGGCACGGGAACGGCAGCGCAGGGCTTTGTATCTTGACTTTGGCACGGTTAGTTGTGGTGGGGAGCGAGTCGCGGTGCGGCAGGCTCGGCGGTCTCGTCTCTTAGTCACTACAGTCGCGCTTGTGATGAAGGTGTCTGAAGGCGTCTCCGGTAGTGACATTGCATGGCCCGGGCCTGGTGCCGCCGTCTCCATCCCGACCAGTGGATGGTCAGGGCAGGACTGCCACGGGGCAGCCACAGCAGCCGGCACAGCAACCGTCTGACCTCGGGCACGGTCAGTGGGATGAGTTCTCCCACGAACCTATCCCCTTTTACCGTCGCCACCGGCGGCATAGGACCGGATTACCGCCAGAAAGGCATGGGCCAGCATGGCCAGGGTGATGTGCCGGCGCCAGCCGACCCACAGGCGCACCTGATACTCATCCAGCCCCACCTCCTGTTTGGCCTCCTTGAAGACATCTTCGATGATCCACCGGGTGCCAGCCACGCGCACCAGTTCCGCCAGAGATACCTCTCCCGTACCAAAACAGGCGTAGTAGGCCAGGTCATCAGGATCGGCAATGCTGCGGCGCACCAGCAGCCAATGCCTTTGGTCCGGCTCCGAACAGGGTCGTATCGGCAACCAACCCCAATCGTAGCGGCGTGGCCCTTTGCTGCCCTCCCCACCGCTCAGACGTTGCCACTGGTCATCGGGTATCTGCTGGGCCAGTTCACGGGCCGCCACCGGCGCCGAGCCACGCTCCGTGTCGACCCACAGCGGCTCATTGTTCTTCACTGCCAGCACATAACACAGGCCCTGCTCCTCCAGCCACCGCCGCAACCGGCGGTCATTACCGTACACCGTATCCCCAGTTACCCAGGCAAAGGGCGCCCCAACCGCCACCGCGCGGCTGATCATCTCCTGAGCCAGTTGTGCCTTGGTGCGAAAGACCACCCCTTCCGGGGCACCGGCTTCCCGCCGCCGCTCCACATCCTCCGCCCATTCCTGGGGCAGATACAGCTCCCGATCCAGAAAGGCCGCGCCCCTTCGGCTGCCATAGGCCAGGAACACTCCGATCTGGCAGTTCTCCACCTTCCCCGCCGTGCCGCTGTACTGCCGCTTTACCCCCACCGACTTCCGGCCTTGCTTCAGAAACCCCGTCTCATCCACCACCAGCACCCCGCCGGGGTCGCCCAGATGCTCCACCACATACCCTTGCAGGTCGTCCCGTACTTGGTCCGCGTCCCAGTGGTACACCGCCAGCAACCGCTGCACCCCGTCGGGGGTGGCGTCGCCAGCATATTCGGCCAACTGCCACCCATTCTTGCGCTCCACCGACCCCAGCAATCCTTTCAGGTACGCCAGAACCCGCTGCCGCGACTCACTGCGGCTGAAACGCGACGCGATACGCCCGTGCAGCGCCTCGAGCCCAACCTCCCAGTCCAGCACATCCTCTCGCTCCAGTAATGTCTGACCCATTTCCAACCCCTCCGCTCACACCAGTAATCATGGGCCTATCCTACCAAAGGCAAGCGCGACTGTAGTACTAGTACTACAGTCGCGCTTGCGATGAAGGTTTCTGAAGGCGTCTTCGGTAGTGACACTGCATGGCTCGGGCCTGGTGCCGCCGTCTCCATCCCGACCAGTGGATGGACAGGGCAGGACTGCCACGGGGCAACCACAGCAGCCGGCATAACAACCGTCTCACCTCGGGCACGGTCAGCGGGATGAGTTCTCCCGGGGACATATCCCCCTTTTACCGTCGCCACCGGCGGCGTAGGACCGGATTACCGCCAGAAAGGCGTGGGCCAGCAGGGCCAGGGTGATGTGCCGGTACCAGCCGACCCACAGACGCACCTCGTACTCGTCCAGCCCCACCTCCTGCTTGGCCTCCTTGAAGGCGTCTTCGATGATCCACCGGGTGCCCGCCACGCGCACCAGTTCCGACAGCGATGCCTCTCCCGTACCAAAACAGGCGTAGTAGGCCAGGTCCTCAGGATCGGCGATGCTGCGACGCACCAGCAGCCAATGCCCTTGGTCCGGCTCCGACCCGGGCCCTATCGGCACCCAACCCCAATCGTAGAGGCGCGGCCCCTTGCTGCCATCACCAGCGCTCAGAGGTTGCCACCGGTCATCGGGTATCTGCTGGGCCAGTTCACGGGCCGCCACCTGCGCCGCGCCACCCTCCCTGTCCGCCCACAGCGGCTCATTGCTCTTCACCGCCAGCACGTAGGGCCGGCCCTGTTCCTCCAGCCACCGCCGCAGTTTCCGGTCATTGCCGTACACCGTATCCCCAGTTACCCAGGCAAAGGGCACCCCAGCCGCCACCGCGCGGGTGATCATCTGTTGGGCCAGTTGCGCTTTGGTATGAAAGACCACGTCCTGGGGCACACCGGCTTCCCGTCGCCGCGCCCCGTCCGCCGCCCACTCCTGGGGCAGATACAGCTCCCGATCCAGAAAGGCCGCGCCGTGGCGGCTGCCATAGGCCAGGAACACTCCGATCTGACAGTTCTCCACCTTCCCCGCCGTCCCGCTGTACTGCCGCTTCACCCCCACCGACCTCCTCCCCTTCTTCAGAAACCCCGTCTCGTCCACCACCAGCACCCCGCCAGCATCGCCCAGATGCTCCACCACGTACCCCCGCAGGTCGTCCCGCACCTCATCAGCGTCCCACTGGTATACCGCCAGCAACCGCTGCACCCCATCGGGCGTCGCGTCCCCAGCATATTCCGCCAACTGCCACCCGTTCTTGCGCTCCACCGACCCCAGCAACCCTTGCAGGTATGCCAGAACCCGCTGGCGAGACTCGCTGCGGCTGAAACGATGGGCGATACGCCCGTGCAACTCCTGGAGCCCAGCCTCCCAATCCAGCGCTTCCTCCAGCACGTCCTCTCGCTCCAGCAATGTCTGACCCATTTCCAACCCCTCCCCTCTCACCTGTATTCATGGGCCTATGGCTACCTTAGTTCAGCGCGACTTGTCAGTATTCGAGTAGTGCCATGCAGCAGCGACCGGGTGGTGGTAAAGATACACAGCTGTAAAGGACCGGAGAGAAATGTACCCGCGTGGCGGCCCGATCGCCGATTCGGTGTTGTGGCCAGCGATCTCTGTCAGTTTTAAAGGAAAGCGACTTCTTGTCAGTCCGGAGCGGTTGATGGTCTGGTTGAAATGATCGCTGCCGCTCCACGGTTTGATGGGGAGATTGGTCGGCTGGGTGAGGGAGCGGGCGTACTTACGGACAGTGTTGCGGTTGTACGCCAGTGACGTGAGATCTCGCGCAGGGATAGACCCTGGGCCTGGGCCTGCTGCACCGCTTCCAGAGGGCCAGCTGTCGCGGGGTGAGTTCCGGCGGGATGGAGGTTCACTGTGATGGTTCTCGACCGCCGGTTCCTCGACGACGGGATCGGGCTCCAGGTTGCCAGGTGTCGCAGCTTGTGGTGGCTGACGCGATGATTGCCCAGGCGTTTTCACGATGCGGCCGATTCTGGGTTGGAGCCAGAGCGCCGTGGGAAGCGCGCAGTGCACCGGGTCGGGGCGGCGCTGGCCGGCAGGGGATGATCTCACCCTCATGGCGTACTTGGAGGCGCCATCGTGTGTTCGAGGACTTCCACTGGACAACCGGCGTAGCTGGGACGCTCCCGGGTGGCAGCAGTGCAGGGTGCGCCACTGTACTTGACCGTGTGTCCCGAGCCACCTTGCGGGTGCGCTTGAAAGCAGAGGATTTCGTCCAAGGGCCGCTTTCCGTGCCACGGGCGGTAGGCAGGCTCCGGCAGATCGGCCGGGACAGCAAACCATGTGTTATAGCGGGGCAGGAGTCCCTGAGGCATGCATTGGCCTGGTCTATGGTGCTGGCGCCGGCGAGACGCAGTTGGTCACCAGCCGGTCCTGAAAGTGCCGCGGCACGTTCCACTCGGCCTTTGGCCTGGGGCGGCGGCGCAGAGATCTGCTGGATGCCCAGCTCCACCAGGCACGGCTGAAGTGGGTGGCTTCCACCGGCGGATGGATGTGCATCGGTTTGCCGAGAATTTGAACACGCGTGGCGGTCGCTGTACAGGGCGGTGGGTACGCCCCAGCGTTCGATCAGTCCGCATCAGGATGAAGTATCCCCGAGTGTCCTCCTCGGGACAGAACACCCGCGTGGGCCACGCGCTGGTGGCGTCGTCAACCGCCAGAGCAGGGTGAATTGGGGACCGTCCTCGCCAGCTCACCGCGTGGAAACTGCCGTCGATCTGCACAGCATCCCGGCCGAGGCATCGTTGTCGCCGGACCCGCTGCTTGGCGCACGCCGTTTGCGCGGGCTCGGCATGCCTGCTGGTCAGAATGCGCCGCACGGTGGGGCCGGCTGAGGTCGATGCCCTCCCGTCCCGGAGCAACTCGGTGAGGTGGGTGTGGTTGGCGCAGCGTAGGTGGTGCTGGCAACTGGATCACCGCGGCTGCTCATCGTCAGAAACAGCGTTGCGGGGTCGGCGGCCTCGGTTCCCGTGGACCAGTGCGGCGGCGCCCTCCTTGCGATAGTCCGCCAGAATTCGCCAAGCATGGCGTTCACTCACCCCCAGGATCTCGGCAGCCTGGGCTACCGGTAGCTGGTGTTCCAATACGAGTGAGCACGTGAAGTCTCGTCTGTTCATAGCTGGTTCAATGTCAAGTCCTCATAGACTGACATTGTCGCTGACCAGTTAACTACTGACCGAATCGATAGACCATCGACCGACGCCGATTCGGGCGGTTGAAAAACGTACCGCCTGGTGTCTTCCATAAGCTGATATAGATGTGGAAGGTGCGTGCGATGGAGTTTCACGTGGACAGTATTTCAGGGGTGCGCCGGGCCTGCCTGGTGGAGAGGGATGAGCGTTCGGGAGGCCTCCCGAGTGTTCGGCCTGCACGGGACACGGTGCGCAAGATGCTGGCCAATGCGACGCCCCCAGGGCTACACGCGGAAAGGGCCGCCGCGCAAACCGAAGATTGAGCCCTTCACCGGCGTAATTGACGCCATCCTGGAGGCGGATCGCCGGGCGCCCAGAAAGCAGCGGCACACGGCGAAAGCGCATCTTGAGCGGCTGCGGACCGAGGACGGGTTCGAAGGCCAGCAGACGCATAGGTCAAGGACTACGGCAGGAGCGTCGCAGTGTTGTCAGGGAGATGTTCGTGTCGTTGTCCCACGGGCTGGGCAGCCCGTTTGCTGGACTTGCGCATTTCAGGCGGCGCGTAAGCGAGGGAATCCACCAATCGGTGGTACAGAGCGGTGGGGAGTTCTTGCGTATCGGG